CTATTACCTCTCCTGAAATTAGAATTCATGCTACGAAGGTTGCGAACTAGAATGACGGGCCACGACTTCGCATGCCCGCAACTCCGAGTAACGTACCGGTGACGGTACCTTAACATGCAGCTAGCTTGGCTTTCGCGCGCGCAGCATCCCGTTCGATTCCCGATGTTTCCGTCTGAAAACATATGTCAGACCGTCACTGTCTTCCAACTTAGCTCCATTCTCAGTCAGTGAGCTTATTACAAAATCTTAACTAGAGTTTCTGGCAAGGCTCTTTCAAGGCATGAGTGATCACATTCACTTGAATTGCGAAGTGGCTGCGCCCGGAGTCGACTCTGAAGTCTCGAGGGCAATGGACAGATGGTTTGCTTTTCAGAAAAGGAAATGACGGCGCAGAAAACCGCAGCTTTACAGAGTCACTCGTGCGCGTGTAAATATACATGCCAAATAGTGTGACGGCATCCATGAGGGATTGAGCACCATTTTTCGATTGAAGGTTTCAGAGTCAAACACAAAGAACTGAGGGGCGCCGCCAAGCTGCAGTCTCTGGCTTGCCCGGCTGCGCAAGTTGGTTGACGGCCGCTTAAGCCCAATCTGCATGTCGCTGACTGGACAACAGTGACCCTAGTGATCAGATCATTTTCAACTCTGATTAGGAACCCGGGTAAAACCTGACCTTGACATCAGTGTCCGGTTGAATACTGGATCCTGACATCCAAACACAATATATCTAGATAGGATCAATGCATCAATTGGTCAAACCGTCCATGTACGTCACGCGAAACAACTTTACGTGCTGGCCGTCTGCTATCGGCAAAACGCTTGCCTCTTGCTGCCTCAAGTAGATTAAGCCCCATATGTACGCTGTAAACCAGAGATCTGTGTATGCGTTTGCGTGATACTTCCGGCACACAATACTATGCGGTAGCGGCAAGATTCCCACGAGTGTTGTTGACTTCAAATATTCCAACACGTCCCTCTCAGTCAGCCGGGGCTTTTCCGCGTGCAACTTGTCGATCGCCGGTTGCAACGCCTTTATCATCCGCTCAACGGTCGCCAGCGGAAGCTCCGCCTGAACTCTTGCCAGCCACTCGGGTGTTAGCCACGTCATCCCCCCTTCCTCCAGCCGTCCTCTCCTCCCCCCCCTCCACGACCCTTTCCCTGACCCTTTCGTCCGGGGACTAGGGGGCCCCGACCCCCCCGAAACGAGAGCCGGCAGCCAATGCCCGCCTTTCGCTGCTTCCGTCCACAGCCGTTTCTCCAGGGAGTCCGTGCCCCCCCCCTCGTCCGTTCCGGGCGTCGACGCCTCTTCACCCCCCTCCGACAGCGGGTCATCTGACCCCCCCAAATCGTCGGGCGACGGAAGCTCCAGCGCAAAGAGCCGCCAGAACACGGGGCTCTTACGCAGGATACAGTAGATCAAGCCGGGGTTGCCGTCCGCTTGATACTGAACGATGTTATTTACGGTCTCGAGCAAGTACCGCAGGTAGTTGTAGTTTGCGTCGGCGCCAAAGAAGACCCGCGGGTGCGCGAAGAACTCGACGAGCGTCACGATGCGGTCAGCGGTCGTCATGGTGAGGGTTTTGGTGTAGGGGGTGACGTTGGCGAGGATCGTAAGGAGACAGCTGTACAGGGGGGCCACACGGTCGCCGCCGTTGAGCAGAGCCTGGAACATAGGGAAAGAAGAGCTTTTTGACCTTGTTAACATTAGGATATTCTTTCTTATTATTCTTTCTTCTGTATTCCATCTGAATCTCGGAAGGCAGGCGACATTCTTGGCAGTACGAAGGCGTCACGCGCTCGCCGCCGTTGCACCCCGCCTGAACAGGTAGCGAAGCAAGTATTTGATTGGCTGTTTCTGCGTAAATGTCTCCATACATCTTTCACTCAGTTCAATATGGGATGCATCATCCAATGGGAGAATCGTAGCTGTACTCGGTCGCCTCTGTTGAACAAGGCCTAGAAGACAGAGAAACACAAGTGGATGGGTTTTCCGTTCTTCCTCCTTCTTCTCCAACCAAAATTGGAAGTTTGGCCACTTTAGTGTCGAGAGTCTCCTCGCTTTTCTTGTTGCCTTTTACGCAAAATTCGGAAAAGACATTCGCCTTGCGCATTCGTGTATGAGGCGTCTGTCGACATTCCACGAGGTTTGCGCAGAGCGTGAAGGTGCCAGAAAGGTAAAAAATGCTCGAAATCTATCAACGCTTTCCCCACGTGCAAGGAACAAAAATGGGAACCCATTCACTTTGTAGAGAACGTGTATGGGCGCGCCTGCCTGGCAACCCTGGGAGTTGCGTGGCGCCTTAGGTGCCCAAATGATAAACCAATGCCCAACCCCACCCCCAACCCCAGACCAAACCCTAAACCCCAACCTAAAGTCGACGGACTGGTATCCTTGAATTGGCTCACCTTATAGAGGACGTGTATGAGCGCGTCTGCGTGGCAACCCCGGAAGTTCCGCGGCAGCTCGAGGGGCGCGTAGTTGGCGGCGGCCGCGGGCTTGTTGAGAGCGACGCCGAAGCTGCGGCGGGAACTGAGGAGGAGCAAAATGAAGGCGCCCACGTGCATCACACCGATCTTGGCCGAGTCCTGAGGACAACAGTGGTTGCTTTTTGGGTGTGCATTCAGTGTGCACTTTGGTGTGCCTCGATTTACCCAACTTGAGATGGTACCTGGCTTCGTTCTCTTTTGGCCGTCAACCCTTCGGCTGATCTGCAAACGTCCCTTCTGCAGACGAGTGTTCCTCAAGAAAATTTCGGGGTGTGATTATCCAGCCAATTAGTGTTCTTGCCATGTAATCGAGCGTGAAGAGCGACTCTTGCTGCTGATAGCACCCTCCTCAGGTTTGTGCTGACAGAACGGATGGAAGAAGAACGGGTGAGTCCCGAGCAGACGTAAGACACCCCTCCCACTTATTACCCCCTAGGATCGACGGTCTGAGTTGATCAAATTACTGATATTGACTGTCGATCGAAGGGGTAATGATAAAAGGGGGTCCCCAGGGAGTCCGCCGGAGTCCTTGTTCTCCTTCCTTTCTTCTGAGAGAAGACAAGGCTCGATTTCAACCCAGGAGTCGATAATATCCCCCGGGCTCACCGTTCTTGCGGTGTAAATCAGCGCCAGGAGCGGCTCCAGCAGATCGTACACGTTCGGCAGCGCGCACACGTAATCAAGGAACGCGGGGTTGCCTTCCAGCAGCTTCCAGCAGAGGACCAGAATCTCCTGGTAGCAGTCGACGCGCCGCGTGCTTTGAACGACGGCTTCCCCGCTTATGACGACGGGGTTCTTGATGAGCCGGACGAGACCGGAGAAGATGAGGGCGAAGTCGGAAACGTCGTCTATGGTCGCCACGAGCTGCCTGCAGGAAACGAGAAACGGGTTTGTAAACTCCAATCCAAAACTCGTTGACGACTAATCCTGAAACCGGTTGGTTTTTAGAGGGACTGATTCAAACACTGCGAAACAAGACCGGAGAAGATGAGCGCGAAGTCGGGAACGTCATCGATAGTCGCCACGAGCTGCCTGCGAGAAAATGGACTCTGGACTCAGGCTTAACCCTCCTGCTTAACACCAGGTTTCTCATGACCCAGTTCCTCTTTTCCCGAAATTTGGAAGACCGATCTGTGATCAGGCGGGCGAGACCGGAGAAGATGAGAGCAAAGGCGGGAACGTCATCGATAGTCGCCACGAGCAGCCTGCAAGGAAAAGGATTCTGGACTGAGGCTTAATCCTCCTGCTTAACCTGCCTTCACGAGGGACGACAAACCGGCTATCTCATGACCCAGTCTCCGGTTTTCCAAGATTTGAGAGACGGATCTGTGATCAGGCGGACGAGACCGGAGAAGATGAGGGCGAAGTCAGGGACGTCATATCGATGGTTGCAACGAGCTGCCTGCAGGGGGGACGGAAGACCTTTTTGTCAATCCACGTTTTCATAACCCTTGAAGCAAGGTCAGCATCCTGAAATTGGGCAAAAAATATCAGAGAAAGTGACAAAGGAAGAGGCAGAACGAGACCGGAGAAGATGAGAGCAAAGTCGGGGACGTCATCAATGGTCGCTACGAGCAGCCTGCAGGGGGCACGTAAGGAATTTTTGTCAATCCACGTTTTTCATAAGCCTTGAAACAGGATCAGCATCCTGAGATTGGGCAAAAAATATCAGAGAAACTGATATAGGAAGAGGCGGAGCGGAACCGGAGAAGGTGAGAGCAAAGTCGGGGACGTCATCAATGGTCGCTACGAGCAGCCAGCAGGGGGGAAGAAAGACGAGTTTTGTGCACCTTTTGTTAAAAGCATTCTGAATCTGGTTGAATCTGGTGAAAATGGTAGGAGACTTGATAAAATAAGAGGCGGAACGAGACCGAACAAGTATGAAAGCGTAAGCTGTTGATAGTCGCCGAACGCAACGCCTGCAACGCAACGAACAAAAGTGGGTTTGAGCTCAACCCTCGTGTTTAGCCTCCATGCAGAGTGAAACAAAAACCGGGTTTGTGCACCCTCAGTCTGATAACCCTACTTTGAAGGCGTCGACCTGGAACCGGTTGGACCTCCTGAAACCGGTTGGAATCTTGAGAAGGATCAAAACGTGAAAAGGAGGAACGAGACCGGAGAAGATGAGCTTGAAGTCGAGAATGTCGCTCTTACTCACCACGAGCTGCCTGCAGGGAGGAAAAAGAGCTGGTAAAACGAACCCTCATTGCGATACTCTGCTTTGGGTCGTCACTGGATTATCACTTGTAGTTGGTGGGGTGCTCGCGCAGAAGGGAGCCGCAGTCATATTTTTGCATGCGCTTTCCTTGGAAAAATCAACGGTAAAGACGATCTGAAGATCGTACTATAAGCTAATCCAGAAGGTCCTTCTTCCAGATGTTCGCCAACCGTTTCGTCCCATTTGCGGACGGCTGCATAGCAGTCCAACGGGAGTGAATCTTTACCACCTGAAAACCAGGACGTTAGCAGGAATTGAAAACCGTACCTGAAGATGTTGGAAGGTCCTTCTTCCGGAATGTTGGCAAGCGACGATGTGCCGTTTGCCGTCCCGCCATTGGTTAGGGGGTGCTCTGACATCAGCGGCAGCAGCGCAGGGCCCAAGTGCGGGTGGGTCGGGGCGGCGGTGGGGCTGTAGTCGAGGAGCGCGAGAAGGACGTGCGAGGCGACGTCGATAAGGTGGCTCGCGGGGTTCTGCATAATATGTGACTTGTAATTGAGCATAGCTTATCTGACAAACGCATCTTTTGTGAAGTTTTTTAGAGCAGCTGAAAACTTGTTTGAGGGGGCGGCGCAGATGGTAGTCGAGGAGCGCGAGAAGGATGTGCGAGGCGACGTCGATAAGGTGGCTCGCGGGGTTCTGCAGAAGCGTGAATTGTACTCATTTGGCAACTGAAAGAAGCAAGTACCTCAAGAATTTTTTTCTCGGGTTAACGGATCAAGAGTAGCTGAATAATGATCGGAGGCGGCGGTGCACATGATATGTTACTCCTCTTCAATTGATTACGGCGCGACTTTCTCTCTGTCTACGGTCAACCATCGAGAAAACCACAGAGGAGAAGAGCTTAGACAGCACTGCAAAAGCAACCACTACCGAAATTTTCTCACCTTCCCATGGTTTAGAACCCAGCCCCCGGGCTGATACGAGATGATGAGGTTAAGCAGCGAAAAGAAGAGGTCCTTGGCGCGAGGGTGCGCATTGGCGCTCCCCGTGACTTGGAACAGGAACGGCTTGGTCTGCGACGCCTGCTTTCCGGGAGGGAGGTAGAGCGGTTCGCTGCAGATGATCAGAAGCGTACGGAGCGTTTCTGCTCGGATGGAGTCCATCGACGGCCAGGATGGCTGCAGGATAGAAACGAAAAGATCTGAGCCGTTGATGAGCAAGTGACTGGCTGAACATTCATTGACGGTCAGATTGATCGCAAAACGACCTGGGCCTCCCTCCGAGGAAAGCGCTGCACACGATAAGGAGCATAAAAAGCCTTGTGCACAAAAAATGACAAGAGACGGGTACGATGGCAGCGGGAGGATGATAAAATGATTCAAGCTTGGATGAGGCACAGAACAGTCGATGGATGAGAACCAATCTGAGCTCATGCATTGTAAGATCACATGGTTATGAGGTTCACCGGGCGTGCAGCCTGTTTTTAGTGCTTCCGACAATCAGTTAAGCCAAGTGGATGACTTGGATGACTTTCGTGGCATCACTGAAACTGACCGACGGCTCCATTAGAAGGCCCAGCTTCGAACTTAGCCCCGCATCATTGTAGTCGACACGTTTACTTGGATTGCGGCATGTATCCTCTCAGACGTAGATCGGACTCGTAAGTTGCACACGGCATCTGCCAGTTTGAGTACCAGAAAACAATCATTGGATGAGAACCAATCTGAGTTTATGCCTTATGTTGTTACGTTTAAAATTCAGGTCCATGAAACGCCTCACCTGGGCTACCAGACCTCGGACGCCAGACGCCCACACAGTCCCCACGGATCCAATCGCCAGCGTCCAGTTTTCACAGAACAGCAGAGCCATAACCGCGTCCACAACCCGCCGCCCCACGTTCCGCGCCTGCCTCTCTTCCTCCTCCCTCATTTCTTCCTCAGTCAGACCCCCCCGCCGTGACCCCTTCTTCCGGGGGGTTGGCGTTCCTGCCCCGTCAGCCCCCCCGGCTGCGCCGTCTGCTGGTTCCTCCTCCGAGATCTCGCTGCCAGCTGGCGGCTGTTCATTGGGTGCTAAGGGCGAGACGGCTTCGGAGGCCTGAGGGGAGACGGGTGCGGGAGTCCCGACGAGCTCTCCGGATGCGGGGGCAGGGGCAGGGTTTAGATCAATTGCTGACGTTGTCTTTTCTGCTGGAACCTCTTTTTGCGGCTCGCTGCTGGAAGTTCCTGAGGCTGCGCTGGGACCCTCGCTTGGCGCGCTGGGGGGTGCGGTTGCAGAAGGCGAGCCCTGTTGAGGCGCTTTGTTTTCCAGAGGTTTAGGGAGTGTGTTCTCCCATAGGAAAGCCTGCAGTTGTGCAAAAGACGTAGACGGGAGGTCACTAAGAAAGCACCTGTCTAGTTTCGGTAAGAGCGTGGCCTATACGGAGGCAGTAAGAAGCCACTACAGAGCACCGGACTCACAGGGTTCGCAATAAAGGTATGCCAATGGATGACAAAGTGGTTGTACTGCAGTTTGCCAAACGCGTGACTAGAATTTATGAGTGCGACAGGATGGCTGACTTGCTAGCTGATTAGTGGTCGCAATACACTCCGACACCTATCTCGGCAATCCGAAATAGTGACTCTGAAGCAGCAAAAGCCAGGTGACCTTGCCCCAGTTCGCAAGAGGAGGACCTTAGTGTTGATCAACCACCTTCATCTCGTCGGAGGGGAGTGAAGGTGCTTACGTAAGCCCAGCCTGCGGAGCCCCCCTCTCCGATCGTCAGTGCATCTTCAAGTAGGATGGGAAGAAGCTGCAAGAACATCAAAGGAAGGGTCGTTGATTTCCTCCTCCAGAATAGGGGCTCGAGTCGCTTGCAATCTGTACCGGAGCCTGATGTCTGGACAAGTGCTGGCGCTAGGACACGGCTATGGGACGGCAACATTTTGTGGCAAAGATACGAGTCGCTGCAAACCAAATGTTTGAGTGAACCTCGAAATGGCTGTGCACAGTGGTAGAGGTGTTGCAAACAATCCCTCGCTGCCTTCTTTCTCTTGCCTCCTTTCTGCTCACACCTCTTCGCAACCGGCCAACTGCCGTAAAACCTCGTTCACAACTTCATCCATCTTTTTGCTTCAAAGCGTGTCCGATACGCCTCGACACTTAACAATAATCTTCCCCACGGTGCGGGGAAGGAATCCACGTCCAGAAGCACAAGGGTCAAGCAAGGAAGGAGTCTGTCGGGTCCAAATTGATACAAAAGGCACAAGCCCCATTCGGTCTGCCGAAAAGCACCAGTGCTGATTGTCCACAAAGGCGTCAGTGGAACTCACCCTGCTGATCAAACGCAGGCATGCCAGCACCTCTGCAAAGAAGCTCTCCCGCATGTGCGGGGCTCGTCCTGGCTTGATGTTCTGAGTGGCGTGAATAATCTCCTCCAGGCGCATGAGCACCTGCGACCAAGGAGATAAGCTCCATCGGCTTTGGAAGCGGCTGGGGCATAGCGGCGCTTGGCGTCCACCGCCAGTAGCAGTTCCTGCTCTGGAGCTTGCAAAAGATAGAACTTTTACGAGTCTGCTGACTTTCAATTCTCCGATACTCAGCACAGGGTTTGATGCAATGCGTGGGGGAAGGGCGACGTGCCATCGTCAAATAAATCTGCAGAAGAATGTGCCGCTTCCCTTTTCCTTCTGGACCTTGTCATCCTCTCTCAAGCAATCTGGCTCAGGAAGCAATGCATCGCCCCATGAAATTTAGAGTACATTGTGGCAAGATCTTTGTGCGAGCGCCTGACCCCTGCAATGCAGAGTACTGGGTACTGGATCTAGAAAGTTTCCTAAGATCACTTCCGAATGACTTTTGAAATTCTTTGGGAACCATTTGATGGCACAAGATGGTGGCAGCTGATCTACATCATCGTAAGCAAGACAGTTCAGTGCCATTGCAATAATTCAACCCCTCTCTGCTGGCTTGCGATCTAGTAAATCCCTGCTGCTTTGCACTTTACTGAAAGCCAGCAAATGCAGATCAGTTTTAAGATGATAGAATAAGCAACCTGATGCAGCTATACGCGACAAAATCAGTATCAAGGGCCACGTTGAGAACAAAAACGAAGGAGCTGGAGATCAGAGGAAGTGAGGATAGCAACATACCTGTAGAGTAAACAGCGCAAAGTTCCTGGGCCGCTCATCGCGTATCTGCCGCAGTTCTTCCACTTTCAGCCATTGCACAACATCTTCGCTACTCTGTGGGGAGTTGATGATGACATCCCACAGCTTCTGGTCTTGGAAAGTGACCGACTCAGAGCGGACTTTCTCCACAGCCTCCTGAACAGCCGCCTTCGAATCGGCAGCCCCCATAATCAGCAAAAGACCTGAGAAAATCAAGTGAGTCCGGGGGGTACATTAGCTCAACGCAGCATTATGCTGTTGTCCGAGGGGTAAGCAAAGGCAGGCTTGCCAGAAATAAGATGATGTATTAATAAGATACCTACCTATCACCTCGCCTGCTGATGCCAATGGTAATCAGCTGAGCCGTGCAATGTCCGTTGCACTGGCAAACGAAGGCGCAAAGTTCGGACATGGGCGCGAGCAGACTGGAGTAGACCAATCTGCAAGGCCGCTTTTCAGAGCCTGAGCATGAGCATCGTGTAAATGGAGGGATTTAGAACGCCATAAGCGAATGACTTCCCTTCCTCAAACTGTGATCGATTGTGTTGTAAGGCGTGTTTCACAAATGGGTTTGTTGCTATTGCAAACAAATCCAAGAAAGTTATACCTGTCACATGTATGAGTGGGTTCTTTCCTTAACCCAGTGTTATGTAGGTTTCGACCGGGAGCGGCAACCGGCCCAGTGCATATACAAGTTTTTCCAAAGCATACGAGCGTGGCGGACGGCAAACGAAATGTCACGTCGGACTCTAGCCAACTCAACTTCAAGCCCCCTCAGAAATTTAGGGTTCGATCCGGGTACAACAATGCCACGTCACACGCCCCTTCTCTTCTGCGCAAGATATTTGAAGATTTTC